AAAGTGTTATTTCTGTACGTAGTGGTCTAACATTTTTAGATTTAAACATTCAACAACTTGAAGTAAGAATTTAATTTTTTTCTAAAAAGTTTCGATAAAAATTATTAAATATTTTTTTTAGCAACTCAATCGTACATATGGTTGTGATGTACCATTAGTTTTAATGAATTCTTTTAATACACATGACGAAACAGAAAAAGTCCTTCAAAAATATAGTCATGTATCAGTTAAAATTTATAATTTTAATCAATCAAAGTAAGTTTTGTGAATCTTTATGCTTTTCTTATTCGAAATATTTTGCTAGATATCCACGTCTCGATCGTGAAACTTTATTACCGGTTGCAACAAGTATTGAAGGTTCAGAAAATGAATGTTGGTATCCACCCGGTCATGGTGATATCTATCAAGCATTTTATCAATCAGGTTTACTCGATCAATTTATTGAACAAGGAAAAGAATATATGTTTTTAAGTAATATTGATAATCTTGGAGCTACTGTTGATTTATGTAAGATTTATTATCTTTTTATTTCGTATAAATATTTTTATTATTGAATAGATATTCTTAAACATTTATTGACTGATCAAACTAAGCATGAATTTGTTATGGAAGTAACGGATAAAACACGTGCAGATGTTAAAGTAAAAAAAACAAAAAAAAAAATCTATTTCTTTTTTTCGATTATTAATATAATAGGGTGGTACTTTAATTGAATATCAAAATAAATTACGATTACTTGAAATTGCTCAAGTACCAAAAGAAAATGTGGATGAATTTAAAAGTGTCAGTAAATTTCGGTAAAAAAGAAATTCGAATAGTTTTAAAATTTTATTTATTAAATTATTATTAGAATTTTCAATACAAATAATTTATGGATCAATCTTCAAGCTATAAAACGTGTTGTTGAAGATAAAACATTACATATGGAAATAATTGTTAATAATAAAGTAAAAATAGTTATTTCGAAAGAAAAAATAAATAATGATTTGATTTTTAAAGACTATGGAAAAAGGTGTTAATGTTATTCAATTAGAAACAGCTAGTGGTGCAGCAATACAAAGTTTTGAAGGAGCTCAAGGTATTAATGTTCCACGTCGTCGTTTTCTTCCAGTTAAAACAACATCAGATTTATTACTTGTAATGTCAAATTTATTCACACTTAATCGTGGTAATTTAGTTATGAATTCTCAACGTTCATTTCCTTCAGTACCACTTGTTAAATTGGGAACAAGTTTTATTAAGGTTAAAGATTTTCTATCACGATTTCAAAGTATACCCGATTGTCTTGAACTTGATAGTCTTACTGTATCTGGTGATGTTACATTTGGCAAAGGTGTTTCATTACGTGTATGTAATCATTTCAGAAACATATATTATTTCTAAAATCTTATATTTATTAGGGTACGGTTATTATTATTGCAAATCATGGTGATCGAATTGATGTACCACCCGGTGCTATATTAGAAAATAAAATTGTTTCTGGCAATTTACGTATTCTTGAACATTAATTTATGTTTTTCCTTCTATTTTATATAATCCTGCCATATTTTATCTAGTACTTTTATTAGAGAATAGCCCAGCATGCGTTGATTTTGAGAATAAAACTATCAAAAGATTGCGTATAACGCTTTTGAATGAGATATATTATTATGTTTTATTGTAGAATTGATGATTTTATAGATTACTTTTTCAAATAAACTTTCATATCAGATTAAAATGTTCGATACGATATTCATAAGCAAGTCAAGAAAATGAATTGAGAAAGAATCATCGATACATCATTTATTTTTCTTGTTTATGATCAGTATGAGTCATCATGTCATCATTTCTGACGGTTATTGTGCAATAACGATTGCATGAGATTTGTTTTTTTGTTGTTGTTATATATAACTTAAAAAAATGTGAAGACCTTGAAATAAAACAAAAACAATATCATGGGTGGGAATGCATTAAAAAAAGTTGTAACTCGTCGTTATGCACGTGACGAATATTATGTATTAAAAGAACGTATATTAAATAAAATTCGAGGATATATTACCAAATGTGATGTTCCTAAAGAGTTTCCTTATAAAGAATCATTTGGTGATCTTGATGTTCTTATTGTATGTCCACCTTCAATAAAAATTCAAAAATTAATTGAAGATTTATTTCATCCAACTGAAATTGTTCATAATGGTGATGTTTATTCATTTGATTTTGAACAATTTCAAATTGATTTTATTCTTATGCCAGAAGAACAATATGATAATGCAATTGTCTATTTTTCTTATTCAGATTTAGGTAGTCTTATTGGAAATGTGTGTCATAAAATTGGTTTAAAATATGGTATGCAAGGTCTTTGGATGAATTTACATACGAAGGACTTTGATCCAACAACAACAGCAACAAAATTAATTTTATCAACAAATGTTCAACAAATTTTTGATTTTCTCGGTTATGATTATGAACAATATCTAAAAGGTTTTGAAAATGATGAAGAATTTTTTCAATGGATTATTAATGGAAAATATTTTCGTCGTTTCTATTTTGATGAAGATCAGCTTAATCATGCTCATCGACATCGTACATCAAAACGTCCTATTTATATTAAATTTATTGCATTTTTAAATGAACAACAAATTCCAAAAGACGAAATAACTGATGATAAAAATGAGTTTATTTCTAATATTCGTCAACAAGCATTAATCTATTTTAATAAACAACACGAATATAATCAAGGACTTACTGTACGTGTTGAAAAACGACAATTTAGAGAGAAATATAGTGGAAAATTTTTTACTGACATTGTTGTTGATCAAAAAAAAATGATTCGTGTACATATGGAAAATTTTGAAAGACGTTTTGGTAAAACTGATGACGAATTTTTGCAATGGGTAGCCGATACTGATCAGGAAACAATTAAATTAGAAATCGAGAAATTTAAAAATGAATTAAAACAAAATCAGACTTGTTAATTATTTAAAATTTTTTTTTTTTATAATAAAATATTGATATTGAATCGAAACCAAATATTTTATGAAATGGTGATTCAATAATAATTCCACGAACAATACAACCTTTACCTAAAGCTAATAGAGCTACATCGGGGTTTTCTTAGACGCAGATCCACATCGTTAAGACTTTTTTAAGTATCGCATCGGACTCGTATAGCTTAAATTCTGTAAGCATCGGGATCGGAATCAGACTTGCCGATTCTTGATTCCGGTGTAGTATCGTTCATACCTAATCACTATATGAAACAGCATGAATGTTAATTAAAACTTCATGTTAATTTACTTTAGGAATATCTTCTTCAAGTCAACACCTTTACGTTCAGTTATACGATAAACAATTTGTTTGTTTTTTGACGACATTATCGATTCTTTATCCAAGTCTAATCATTTATTCTCGTAAGATATAGGATTTACATCTATAGAAAATTATTTATTGTATATATCAATTAAATACATCATTCTAAATTTATTACAAAACAACAACGAAAGCACTGAAATAGATTATGACTAAGAAAAAGAAAAATAAACAATTTTTGACTGAATACACAATACAAACAACAAAAATAAAATATGGTTTTTCTATCTGTCTAAATGTATAACTAATCGAATTATCCTTCAAGTTTTGGGCATTCAGGATGAAGAAAATTTCTTGGATGAATCATATCATTTTGTCTTATAACCCATTCATTAGCTAAATAATCAATAACTTGTTTTATACGTTCTTCACTAATATCACCATCAAGTTCAGCTAAATATCGATAGAATTTTTTCCATTGTTCAAATGGTATACGAGCATTAGCACCTGGTGGATCGCTTGTTAATAACTCACATATTTTAATTAATGTATCAGTTAAATTCTATTGAAAAAAGCGAAACTATTTTTCTTTTCAATCTATATTAAAATATAAAATTCTCTTACCTTAGATATTTTTGTAAGAGCAATAGCTAGAAAATGATCCCATTGAACATTATCATTGAATGAACCAATTTGTACAATATCATCAAATTGTTCTTGTGGAATATCTAAATCCTCATATTTTTCTTTTATTTGTTGTAATGATATTGTACGTTTGGAAGAAAACTGAAACAAAGGAAATAGAACATCATTAAAACATTCTCGTAGTAAATAATTGGACGTTTTTTTAATTAGAATTTCATGTCACGAACGGTTGTTAGATAGATTCAAGCATACTCATTAAAATCTATACAACTCGTATATCGATATATAAAATATTTATTTGTTAATCATTGAATAAAGAAAAAATAGGAATCATATATCATTTCTATTTATGTCATAGTACATGATAATTAACTATGTAGAAATATTGTTTACCTGTCTATGTAATATTTTTAACAAGCCCATAGTTAAACCAGTATCAATTTTTTGAGTAGCATCAGGCATTTCTAGACCTAAAATTAATTTGAAAATTATATATTTATCGAAGTTTTTCTCTCATACGTTCTTTTACTGGCGGTGTTTGACCATTTGCTAATGCTCGAAAGTACCTGTAATTAAACAGATTAATTATAATAGGAAATAAAGTTGAAATGTAAAATTTACGCTGCACTCCATGCTAATATATCTGTAGGTTGTGTTCGTATTGCTGCTTTTGAAAATTGAAGTAAAATATCAGGAAATTCTGTTGGTATTGAAATTTGTTCACTTGTATAATATGGTTCATTTGTCGCCATATTTGTTCAGAATGAACCTGTCGTCTGTGTAATGTCAACATGCTCATTAAGTTCAACCATTAATAATATTCTATATATAGTATTAAAATTACATTTTTTTGTTTGGTTCAAATTTATTTCTTAAGTTTTTTTTTTCTATAATAAGATAAATTTTATTTAAAAATAAATTTAATAGAACCAATTAAATAATGAAATAGAATGTGGCGCACTTTGTTTTCATTGGTCAAGATTTTTCTGAGGCTCGAAACAAAGACGAACTCAATCAATTTTTTTCTCTAGTCGATCAAACAAATATTTAATTTAGATAAGAAGAAAATGAAATCATCCTCACGTTCAATACTTCAGAATCGAAATGTTGAAAATCGTCCAATACCTTCGTAAGAATAGCGCTTCTTTTTTTTGTTCTTGAAGAATTTTTTATTCTTTGAATATTTATAGGGAATATTTTTCAACAGTTGATTCTAAGAAACATAATGAAGAAAATCGAAAACAACCTGGAGCATCATCATCATCATCATCATATAGCAATGCAGATTTAATTACAAATCATTTAAATGAAACATCAGCAGCATCGAAATCAACTACAGGATCATCACAGTAATAAAACGGATTCTTTAGATTGACTATAGCTATATTTTATTTTTTTTGTAGACGTCAATGGACAATCAATGATTTTGAAATTGGAGCACCACTAGGTCGAGGACGTTTCGGTCATGTTTATTGTGTTCGTGAGAAGAAAAGCAAATATATTGTTGCTTTAAAAGTATTAATAAATTAATTTTTTTCATTAAATAAATGCTTATATTTTAACAGGCTATTATTAAAGATCAAATATCCACGCCACGTTTAGCTAAACAATTAATTAGTGAAATTTCAATTCAAAGTCGTCTTAAGTAAGAATTTGATTTCTGTTTTTTTTTGATTTTTTTGGATTATGTATTTAGACATCCAAATATTCTACGTCTTTATGGTTTTTTTCATGATGAACAACGAATATTTTTATTACTTGAATATGCACCTGGTGGAGAATTATATCGACGTATGCAAAAAGAAAAAGTTTTACAAGAAAATGAAGCTGCTGGAGTAAAATTAAAATTTTTATTATGACAATTCAATTTTCTTTTCACTTTAGTTTGTCTATCAACTTTGTAATGCATTATCATATCTTCATTCTAAACAAATTATTCATCGGTAAATTAAACAAATCTCATTCATATTTTAATTTAGAAACAAATTATTTTTAGTGATATTAAACCCGAAAATATTCTCATTGGAGTTTATGGAATTCTTAAATTAGGTAAATAAATCAATTTTTTTTATTTAATTTATCGTTTTTTTTTTTGAAAGCTGATTTTGGTTGGTCAGCTGAAAGTAGTGAAGCTAATAAGTAAGTTTATATACATAATTTATTGTTTAATAATTTTTCTTGAAATAGACGAACAACTCTTTGTGGTACATTAGATTATTTAGCACCAGAAATGCTCAATGGAAATGGATACGATGAAAAAATAGATCTTTGGTGTTTAGGTGTTTTTACTTATGAAATGGTAAAGAATAAATATGATTAATATCGATTTTATATTCTTAGAATATTTTCAAAATTAACCCTAGTACTACCAAATTATACTATTTTCCATTCGGTTAGATAATAAAATGACTGAGAAGGATGCTATATATTTATTTCGAACACGTGATTCAAAAAGGTCGTTTCACACATTGTTCATTAGAAGTGGGTTTGGAATATTTATAACACTTATTCAGGGTCTTTCTGTCTTTGGTACGATTACGAATACTACATCCTATTCAAGGAAAAGGCAGTTATAGAAAGATAAATAATCTTGATTACATATTTCAAAATCCGATGAATCATGCACTATACTAGTTGGCCAGGTTGAGTCGATAATAAAACATATTTCAGTTCGATTCCAGTTACATCCAACTGGTTTTATATTTTTGTTAATGCGGAGGTAGGAAAGATGAAACAATTCTTTTTTCAGTACTCTGTCAAAAAGTCTTGGTCGTGAGAAATGCTAAATAGTTTTTAAACCAGAAAAATATCAAGATATCTTATTAAATATCATTTTTCTATAGTAGGGTCATTTCTGATCCCACTTGGTAGTACTAGGGTTAATTTGAGAATCGAGTACTGTAAAGGCATCTAAATTCAGTATATGAAAGTTGTTTATAGAGAGCAATGAACTCAGGATTAAAATGTCAATAGATGAAAGATGTTGAACGTGACAAGCAATGTAGTTTTAGTGTATATGACCTAGATTTGATCGCGCTTGTGAATTTCAGTTATGAATATTTTTCTTGGCAGTATTAGACTTTTTGAAGTGGATAGATTCATATATTTTAATTTACAGATTGTTGGTAAACCTCCATTCGATAGTCAAACTCAACAAGATACAATTCGACTTATTCGAACAAATGATTTATCATTTCCATCACATACATCATCTCATGCTCGTGATCTTATTAGTCAAGTAAGATCAAAAGTATTTTATTTTATAGATATTTAATCTAACAAAACATATGATTTAGCTTATTCGTCGTAATCCATTAGATCGTATGCCATTAAATGAAGTAATTCAACATGAATGGATTATTGAAAATGCAAATATAAAAGCAATTGATGAAAATTACGAAAAAATTAATAAATCAACTTCGATTAATCAGAAAAATGAAAGTAATATCTAAAATGGATATTATTCTTCTAATTCTATTTATTTTTCTTGTGTTATGACACGTCTTAGTGTCTCTTCTCTATGGAATTTTCTTTCTTTCATTTTTTTTTGTATGAATACTTCTTAAATGAATGACTAAATAAATATAGGCAATATAAAATATCAATTAAAACAAAAATATATTAAAGAACTTTGTCAATCACATGTCGTTTATAGACATACAGCTGACAAAAGATAATTAGTAAAAAAAGATCGATGATATCGAAAAGAAAACACAAGAAATATAGAATAGTTGTTCTTCTTTTTCTTCTTGACTATCATTGTTATTCTTTTATTGTATTGTCTCTGTATTATTCTAAACAAATTCTCTTCCGAATTGATCGCAATGCGCAATAGAAGAAGATGCAAGCGTTAGATCGATGAAAATATAGAGAGGAAAGGAAGATAGAGTAGTATTAGTAGTCCTTCGCAATTCTCTGTTCTTTTTATCATTCTATTGATGTTACCATTTTCTAATGGAACTAGTACTATTAGACAAACATATATTGTAGAGAGAGGGTCATTACACCGTATTAACTCTGCACTTATTATCGCGAATAATAATGAACATATGAAAGCTTTGGTACTATCAACTTGCATATTTATTTGATTTATTTTCTTTCATCCACATCTACACATCTCTCATCAATGATGTTGAATCATGCATGTACTAATATAACTTCATGTTATGCTTTAGCAACAACCTTAACAAGTCAATATTCATTTTGGCTTTATAGGTAAAAGAATATTTTTATATCTACTACAGATAAAAAATAAGATCGACAAAAAATAAATGACTTTCTTATAGAAAAGAAAACCGGATGAGTTTATTAAGCGGAAATAATGAGCTATAAATCCCTCGAGAATTCTAAACATCAAGATAAAAGGATAATGTCTTTTTTTTTGTATTATTAGAAATGAAAAAATCGAATCACTCAATGTATTTATACGTCCAGTAATATCTACCGATATTTATGATCTAAAAGTTTTATTTTCTGATTGTTCATTATTTCAACGTGCATCGGTTGATTTTTCAATGTATTATTTTGCTTTTCGACCAAAACATTCATATGTTATTACATCGAAACATGGACTTTTAGCACATGCATCTATTAAACAATGGAATTTTAATCATCATTTAAGATCTTCAATATTAATGCTGGGTCTTGTTTATGTACGGCCTGATTATCGAAAATTTGGTATTGGAGAATTATTAACAAATTATGTATTAAAAATAAAATCCGAAGAAGTTAGTTGTATTCATGCAAATATTCTAACACAACATCTACCATTTTATATTCGATATGGTTTTCAAGCATCATTTTCTTTAGTTGGTTTAGTTGGAAAACTTGGTGAATTCTATAATTTAACAAATATAATTGAAGAAGATGTAACTATTCAACAATATGAATTATCAGATATACTTGATATTGCTACTTATGATAGTCATATATATCCTACATATCGTATACATTATTTTGAACAATTACGTGAACATATCTATTCAATTGCTGGTTATGTTGCACGTTCAACAAAAACAAATACCATATTAGGTTATATTATTTTAAATTTTAGTCAAGAATTTATTAAATGTGGACCATTATATGCTGATAATATAAATATTGCTTTAATGTTATTAAAACAATGTGCAACTGATTATGATGGTACAATGTTATTAACATTACCTGAAGATAATCGATTAGCAATAAAAATGTTTGAATCAAAACATTTTAAACAAACAAATATTCTTCATCGTGTTTATACAGGTAGTGAAAATATTTTTCATGGTAAAGTTTTTGAACATATTTGGGCTGTTACAGATGATTGGCTTTCATTAATTTAAATCTATATATTTTATGTATGTGTCATGTTTTTATTGGGGTGCTTTGTCATTTTGTGAAGTGTGATAAAAATAAAAAGAATTTTAATATATAAATATATATATTCATGTACATTTTTATAAACAATCTGAATAAAATTTTTCATTTGATATACCAACTCGTACTTAATAATAATTTTTGTCTCTCTTATCTATTACAAATATATATATAAAACAATTACATGCATACGACAAGCACGAAAATCAGCAATCACGCGATAGACTAGAAGGAAAGAAATCGCATGTATCTTCTTCTGTAAGGTCTGACAGTATGGTTGCCGATAATAATACAAACAAATATGTCGCATTACAGATACTATTGTAACATATTTACTTAACATTACTTATTCATTGGGTACATCTTGTAGTAATAATTTTAATTCAAGTATCTTCTATTAATTTGAAGATATTCTCCTATTTCAAAGAAAAAGATGATTGTATTATATAATAATTTTAAAAAATGAGTCAAGTGATGAATATGATATTTTATTTTATAATCAACTCATTTTCATAATAAATAGAGAAGAATACAATAATTTTTTTGTATCTATTTTAGAAAAGAAATGTGTAAAGAGATTTACTGTTAACAAGATTAATGTTGATCTATCTTATGAAATTATCATCATTTGAATATTCAACGTATGTTGATTTAATTGTCTTCTTGATCATATTATAATCAAAATTTTATTAACTCATTGATTTAGTTATTTCGATGCGATATTCAATCATAATAGAGGTATTGCTAACGAAAATCGAAGGAATGGATATTATCGAATAGAAATCTTTCGTGTACATATAGATGTCACAAAACGAATTCGAATGAATCATACGTAAGCTATTTCAAATAATAATATTAGTAAGTTGTATATCATTTATTTTATATATGAACTAATCATAAGAAAAGAACACGTATACCATTTAGTTTTTTAGTATTAATTAAATATGAATATCGATGAAGATATTAATCCATTTGCTGATCCATCAATTCAGCAAGCAACACAGCAGACATTGTTTGTAGTATTTTATTTCGTAATTTTATTTTTAAATTGAATTATTTTAGTACAAATCAACAAACACTCAATGATTATAATCCATTCGGGAATACAACTGTTGGATCAAAAGTACAGTTGATTGAAGTTTGTTTTTTTAATTATATAATTTTATTGGTAAATCTTTAGCCAACACAAATAAATGCAACACCTTCTTTGCCAGCTAGTCAACAACCGCCGGCATATGCAACAGCAACAATACCTAATACGATTCCACAAACAACTCGTGTTGATCTTACTCAGCTTGAACGACAACAAGCAGAACTTGAACAACGTGAAAAACGTCTTATGGAACGTGAACGTGAATTAAGAAATTCACAAGTTACACGTAAATGAATTTCTTTTTCAAAACATTAGAATTAATTTTAACGTGACACATTTTAAAAAATAAGTTCTTATAAACACATCGGTAGGATTCTATTCGATTGGAATCTCTATTTTCAATTATAAACAAATATTTTATGATGACGTTTAATCGATACTGAAGTAACTTTCGAAAATCATATAAAAAATTGCTATATTGTAATACAATCCTATGTAATCATAGTAAATCTTATGCGAAGATAAGATTTTTCTACATATCAGTACTTTCGAA